AGTGGTTGCACCAATCACCAGGAAACACATGTATAATAGGAAGTTCATACACCTTCTCATGATCCATAGCGACAGAGAAAGGCAATTCCGGACAGATTGGTTTGATGTAGTCAGCTTTTTGTGCACTTGCAACAACTGCAATGTTGTCCACATACCACTTCTTTGTTATTTTCGCCATAATAATCTCGTCCGACCTCTATTTTCACTACTTTAGAGGAGCCTCATTTTACTCGAAATCAGCGAATTTACTCTTTCTGCACTACCGATGGAATACTCCTAACCTATACTTCTGCTTTTCGACTGAAACAGAGTACCTTAGAACTATCGTGAACTTATGCCTCAAGCGACACGTAACACTTATTTCGCAGAAACCCCGCCCACTGTTGGTGGAGTCTGGCCCTCCCACTCACTATAAATGTTATCATCCTGCCGCATGTAATCCTATCAAATTCGAATACTTTGACTTCAAAGTGGCAGTTTCCGCGCAAACCCCGTCCCTCCCCCCACCCTATAGGTGGACCTCAGTGCTGCCACCTGTTATCAGTGTTCCCATCCTGCCGACTGTTCTCCTTCCAAATTTGCACGTTCTAGGTCCACGGGGACAGGGGTTGTGCATTTCCGGTCGGACACATACACTTGCACACACACAATCACATACACGCACATGCACATGCACATACACATACGCATACACATACATATTCACATATACATACACACAAATACACTGACACTAGCGCGTTATATATAGTAGGATCCTCTCGAAATTTCGGAAGTTTCAAAGGCCACTAATTGAGCTATGATTCTTCTCACAAAAAGAAGACGAACGCTATGAAATAAAAGTAATATTGAAAGAAGGAAAACAGCGGAAGCAAATAAAAAAGCCANCCTGCCGACTGTTCTCCTTCCAAATTTGCACGTTCTAGGTCCACGGGGACAGGGGTTGTGCATTTCCGGTCGGACACATACACTTACACACACACACAATCACATACACGCACATGCACATGCACATACACATACGCATACACATACATATTCACATATACATACACACAAATACACAGACACTAGCGCGTGATATATAGTAGGATCCTCTCGAAATTTCGGAAGTTTCAAAGGCCACTAATTTAGCTATGATTCTTCTCACAAAAAGAAGACGAGCGCTATGAAATAAAAGTAATATTGAAAGAAGGAAAACTGCGGAAGCAAATAAAAAAGCCAGAGAAGGAAGAGAGTGAAAAGTGTTTCCTGCTTTACCTGCAGCATGTCGTTCTCATCGGGATCACTCTTTACTAAGCATTCGATATGAAAAGGTCGTGAGCTCAAGTTCGTGTGATTGCTAAACGCTGTTGTTACCCCGACTGAACAAAGTACTTTATTAGTATTCTGTTCAACTGCCCTTATTTGACACTCGACAACAAAGGTGTTGTTGAAATTGAACTCTTGGGTGTACCTCCCTCACCATAGACGTTCGGTTTACAATCCAGCACTTAATCCTGAAACAGTTTCCAGGAGCGGCTGCCGTCAATCCAGTTCCTATAAGAGTGCCTAGTGCCCTATTAACCGATATCGAGCTTCTAGCCTTCTTTAGATCTGTTCTAGGATTCTGTCCTTCAAATGAGTTTTTAGGCTGTAGCTGGGAAACCGTTCATTATCATGACGATTCCTGGATCGCGACCAGAATTGAAATCAATTGTTCTGTACTCGCACACTGACGTTGTACCGGCCGTCAAGGTATAGTTTTCAAACTTTTACCCCAGTAGCTTCATCGTAGAAGGGAACATTGCCATACATAGATGAGACAGTGGCTCCTGGAACGCCTTATAAACTGTCCTCAAACCTCTGACGGAGTCGCAGCGTTGGCTTGGGATACTACGGTCGTGTGTACATCGTGGAAATGGCAACATCGAACTTGTAAGAAAGCATGTCGACATTTCTATTGCAAGCCCAATTATTAAGAGTAATAGGGTATTGCGCCATGAAGCAGTATAGGATGAGCTCTGCCACATCGTGCAGTGATAAGGGAGAAAGTTGGAGGTTCGGAAGTGACAACCTAGACCGCTGACTACCGCCCACTAAGGTGAACTCCAGGGACTTTTTGCAGGTGGCGGCTTTGGATACAGTAGTACATGTGCTGCTGGTATATTGCTACAGCCAACTATGTTGAAGGCAATGGAATAGTCCATGACTTACTCGTCACTGATTTCATAAGGTTTGCAACTAATCATGAGGGAGTCACATAAAGCGCACTCGGAAAGGTTTAGTCTCTTACAAAGCGTCTAATATGAAAACAGTGAGAGTTTTGAATTCTTTTTAATCTTAAAGACGCTGTAGGAGGACCGGAACGCTGTTTTCAGGACCAATGGAAGTATGATCCGTTTTCCGCACATAAGGATGAGCATGGTAATATTTACGGACGAGGGGCGCAAGACATGAAGTCGGTTGGCTCGCAGTATTTCGAGGCGATCAGAAGGCATTTTCAACGCGGAAAGAAACAGTGGCCAAGGACCATACATATTGTTTGGGCTCCAGGTAAAGGCACCCAAAACCATATTCGTGCTCGCGCTTCAACTGAATGACTGTGTTCTCTTCTGAGGCTGATTCTTTGAACTTTTGCAGACGAAGAAATAGGAGCCGTGGATGGTATGCAAAAGTTTGTGGAGATGGCAGAGTTTCGTGATCTCAAGCTAGGCTTCATGCTTGACGAAGGGTTGGCATCCGAGACCTCCTCGTACAAAGTCTACTATGCAGAACGAAATCCATGGTGTGAGTAAAGTTCATCTATCTTTGGTTAGGATTGACCAATTCTTTGCATTTTTAGTCCCTGTAAAATGGCCTAAGGTGAACTCTACTAAATTATTATTTCAGGGTTGAAAGTCACTTGTAGCGGATCGCCCGGCCATGGCTCGAAGTTCATTGAGAACACGGCTGTCGCAAAGCTGGTATTTTTACTAGAAGTTTTTTGGGGATTGCACTTCGGCCACTTGATTATGCTTGTTTTGTTTGTTAACTGCTAAATGTGGTCGCAGTTCGCGATACGGTGATAATAAGCTGTCAACAAAGCAAAACACCATTTGGGAGGACAAAAGGTGTCGGTGGTGCAGCGAGTAGGATCACGTTGCTTGTAAAGCATAGCCTTTCGACCCGAGTTATGGCTCGGACCGGACGTTCAATTCGTATATTAGTCTTCCAGGCACATCTGGGCTCTATTTCTTTAAGAACATTCTTCTCATCCTCCATTCAGCAATCCTTCATCAACAGCGCACTGTCATTCCGGGAGGAGCAACGCCTTCTGCTGGAAAACGATTCTTCAAAACGGTCAGGAGACGTGATCACGCTGAATATCACGAAAGTTGAGGGTGGTGTACAGGTGAACGTGGTACCGGATAGTTTCACGATACGTAAGTCAAAGTTTAATTAGTGCTGTTGTTGCCACTAGATCGAACCTGAGCAGCAGTCAGATGGGAGGACATAGTATCTGCATCACTATCAGAGTAGAAAAGCCGTCTTATATTCACCATAGCCTTGATTCAGTGGTCGATATACGTATGCCGCCAACAGCCAACTTTGATGAAATGGAAAAACTTGTTGCAAGTTGGTGTACAAAAGCAGGCCCTGGCGTTACCTACGAATTTATTGTGGTGAGTTTTGTTTGTTGCGAGCTAAAGCAATATTGTTCTCTGGCCGAAATGATTTTTGTGCTGACATTACAAGGGGTAAACCAGCAAACCAGTAACCGGTAAATTTGGTCATCCTCATATCGTATTGGTTTTGATCAGTTTTCGTCAATTATATCGTCACTATATCGCCATCGTCGTTAGAAATTAATGATTTTCCTGTAGACACAGCCATCAAATGAAACACTTACGAGTTATATGTAATATGTCTATTTGAGAAAAACCAAATCTCTGCTGTAACGCCAACGACAAGTGATGATCCGTTCTGGTCAGCTTTTGAGAAGTCGCTCAAGGAAGAGTGAGTATGCATCCTTTTTGTTAAGTGCATGCTAGTAATTTGGTCTCGACCCAAGGGGAATTGTCCAGGAAAACCAGCAAAATCAGCTTTTTTTCTGGTTTTTCATTACTTTCAGTTTTAGAATTCAATTTGAGGATCAACAAAGTTTGCAGTATTGATTACACTTACTATCCAGCACGACAGTGTCTGAATTTAGGGTATAAATTGTTCCCGTTCTAATGGGTTTTGAATATTGAATAGAAATTGAGATCGTAAACCCTCACGAGCGCCCGAAATGCCTCACCTGAACTTTCGCACTTATCATTGTAGTAGCAGTTTGAGAGCCTTTAAGATGCTGAACTTTTTTGTGTTCTCATACAATGATAATGTGCATATCGTTCATTCAAGGAAATGCAGTTTCGACAAGGAGGTCTTCACCGGTGCCACGGATTCACGATTCGTGCGAGAGGTAAACTTTGTTTTATTGGTTTTGTTGACCGTATCTCGAATTGTCGAATGTATTTCTATATGATAAAATGCTGCTATCCTGGGGTTTCACTCTCCCCGCACAAGTTTGAGTTCTTCATTTTGAAAACTTTCAAAATATTTCTAGCAGGGGATTGAGACCTTGTTACCCCCCGAATCAATTTACTGCGTACCATCAGTTACAGCTCAAGAATCCTTTCTTCTGACATATAACAGGACTGAAGAATGTGGACGCGAGTGCAAATAGCTGGATAGAGGGTTAAGGATAAAGCCTTGGGACGTTGATCAAGTTAATCAATCGCGTCTGAGGGATGCGCCCACGCATTCGACTTCTAATCAGAATCGTATTGCCTATTGAAGGCTGAGACTATACAATGACTTGCGATGGTCAGCCAGTGTACAAGTCAGTACTTTTATCCTCTCAGACGAGTCTGGTACCAATGCACCAAACCGGAGGGGTGGAAGGCTAGGTTGGCGGACATGTTTCCGGATTCGAACCCGGAGCCATGCGTTTGTGAAGCGTTCCGCTTGCCACTACGCCACCTTCGCCCTCAAATGGCTGGAATGATGACGAAACGGTTGTCTGAGCTACATAGAAGCTAGCAAGATATATCTTACGTGGTTGCTCTCTTAGCTCCACATCGCCACTTATATCGGTTTTCAGTTTGATTGTTTATTGAATGTGTGATTTCGCTATCCGTAGGCGTACCGAAGGTTGTGGATAGCGCTCTTATTACAGAGTGCTTTCATTCTCAGGTCTAGGCGTACGGTCCCGAGCAAAACTGCAAAGTGGGCAAGCTGCATAAGTATGTGGTCTACCCTGCGGTGACCTGGGAATCTGGTTTTTATGGCTTGCACCATTTTTCTTGTGGGCTTGAGATGATTCGACCTGTGGCCATTCGTTGCAGTGAGCTTGAACATTCCTCCAGACTCAGGATAAATCAATCTCCAAGAGTGAATCATGACAATTTCATTGAAGTATCACAATACTACAGCTATGATATTAGCTCGCCTTACATGTGAGTATTCCAGCTTGGATATCGTTCCATTGGCTTCTCCCCGATGATCCACACGCCGTCGCTGCTCCATGACCACAATGAGTATCTCAACGAGGCAGTATTCCTAAGAGGCGTTGAAATCTATGAAACACTGATTAACAACCTTGCTAGTGTAGAAGGTGTATGAGTACTTGAATTTTTGTTAGGTTTTGCCCAATTCTATACAACCAATGACTTTTCACAACCATTTCATTGTTCCACTGTAATTATGAATAAATTAATTATACGCATTTGTAGAGAAATTACTGTAGTATACCAATGCAAGTCACCGTCGTGGATCCGAGTTTTTTCTTCGGGCAGTTCATTTCATAAAATGATTTTGAGTACGGCTAGGTCTCTCAGTCGGTTATCGTCGAGAATCGTACTCACGGTTTGACTCGACAAGCCAAATGCTTGGTTGTCACCATTCCGGAGCTGGGAAAAACAAAAATCATTCGAGGAAGCAGTTATCCAGGCACCATTTCAGTCCAATGAGTTTGTAGACCATGGTAATGATGTCGAGATCTTGGAAGAACGAACAACTTTGAGAATCGCCGACTTTTGAGGTCCACCCCTAAACCCAAGATGAAATAATGTTTAGGCGAGTACTTCCTCAGAAGACTTGCGTCGTTGGAGGCTTCGACTAATGGTAAGACGACGAAAACGGAGCGTTGGCTGGATAAAACTATAGCTGACCGCTGAATTCGTGAAAAGAGCGTTGTGTGAGTGGTAGTTGTCAAGTTGGAAGCTTCAGATAGTCGTTTTGCAGTGATTTCTGCTGTAAGTACAACTGGTCTCTTGCCGAAGGTGTTCAGACAATCGCCTTATGAAGGCATTATGTGGGGAGGTTCAAATTATTAGCAATAAAGCATACTCAGAATAGCGTGGGTAGATTTTGAGGGGTGCCACAGACTTGCTAGCAGTGATTACTATCGAGGAAAGCACCATGAGGTGCAATGTAGAACAGGTAGATTTCTGCAGCTCCACTGCAATGTTAAGAGATTTTTTGCTTTCCGTGATGTCTTTTCGCCGTAATCTTCTTACAATGTTCCCTAGATACATCTCAGGACAGAGTATCTATTGTTTTGCAGTGCTATCTGCTCACCCTACACCATACCGATATCACATCATCATTTGATCTTATGTTCGTATGTCTCGTGTATTAGAGAGTTGTCTCTCTAGCGACTGAAAATCTGACTCTTCTCGAGCGTTGCGCGATATGGCTCAATAAGAGGTTGTGCGCCACACTTTTCAGCTACTTTGATAATCCAGCTAAGTTGATTGTGCTTAATCTCTCTTATTATAAAGCAGAAACTTGGTGTGTCGGTTTGTCGGTATGTTTGTTTGTCGGTCTGTCCGTCCGCAAGTTTTATGATTTCGATAAGGTGGTGATGTGGGAAACCTAGTTTTTTTCCTACATTTGATTCTTTTAACCATTGACGACCACGGCGTTTTGCGGGAAAACGCCGCGGGGGACCGGCGCGCTTTTCGTCCACCCGCGACTGCAGCCCACATGTGGACTTCATGGTCCAGCATGACTATTTTTTGAAGTTTATAAGAGAAAATTATAAGTTTTTAGGAATGTTCCTTCAAATGGGTTTAGTAAGAATGCCCACATTGAGTGATTATTGATCTTTATTATGGAATCGGCACCCGGTTTGGTGGTCATTCAATTATGAGTTAAATCATTACGAGAAATCGCTTCGGGGAACTTTTATTTGCATTACGTTGGGAGCTTTAAGTTTAGTCGATAACAGTGAAAATGTAATGACGACCGTCTTTTAGAAATATGTCATTTTTGGAAGTTGTTCAACGAACGAAGAATTCCCCAAGGTAATGTACTCCTTCGAAAAAACACTTTTACAATTGTGAAATTAGAAGATTTTCTAGGATTACGCTGTATGTAGTTTCATTTGGACCTGATGTAATGTTTTGAAAAGAAAAATTGTAAAAAAACGGAAATATAGATGAATAAAACAGAAAATACAACTGCAGTCAACATGTGGACTGCATGGACGTCAATGGGTTAAATAAACGGTAACTTGGTGGGTAGGTTAATGGAATAGAGTCAGAATGCGGAGGGAAGTAAGTAATGTGGAGTGATGTGGAGATTTCAAAACGGTGGTTTTACCTGTACAGGTATCGTGCTATGTATGTCTATAAAAAATCACATGCGTTTGAGAAACCTTCCTTTTTTTTCAACTTTGTATGCTATAGCGCAGATAAGGAGGTGATCCTCTAACTGAGCTCAAGAATTTTCTTTTTCTTCTTCTTTCTTTCTTTCTTTCATTTCTTTCTTTTTCTTTGCTTTTCTTTTCTTAGCCGTGAACAAATAGTTTTATGACCTGGGCTTCAGGAGTGAAGAAGCACGTTGTAGGTGAGGTACACACCCCCACCCCGGCCCAACTATAATATGTTTTCTATCTCTTTTGTAAAAGTGGGGAACGAGGCCCAAGTAAGCCGGGCGACCCGACTGGTATATCTCTATGTTGCAAAATGTTTTTTGTTCTCTTTCAATCGACCAGGTCTAAGATTCATAGTGAAGAGCGAAATACTTTTATCTGAAACTCGTAGAATAAGGATATGCATATGGTCTTGGCGCACAACCTGAGACTGAGGTCCCATATCAACCTTCAAAGTACTAACAATTATAAAGTTGTGGTAACCTGATTACTGAAAAGACATCAAAAGGTGCTGACGGGAAACGGATTAAAAAACAAATAAAAACTATGCGAGTTGAATGCCCAGGTCACAGGGCTACACCATATGCCGCAGACGTGTCGGTCTCAGCATATATCAGCTCTATCTGATCTGCGATTCGATGTTTCTGCAGGTATCGTTCAATGTGCACTCGAAAGCGATCCTTCTTAGCACTGCCAACTAGGAACAATTTCTTAACACCGTAGGACGTGAGTAAATCGGTCGGCACTAAGGCAAACAGATTCTGCACAACTCCTTCGCAGATACCGATTAGCATCTAAAATAGCGATGAGTTATTCTTCCTCAACTTACATTTGATTTTTTTGACACATATAACAGCGGTTTTGTTTGGATTTGAGCTGCTGACTTCTAATTTACAGAGATACTACATAGACGTAGGCTTGTTCTTCGCGATCAATGGGACATACGGTTGCGCGGCACAATAGCAGCCCATCTGATCACACAGCAACCCATTAGAAATTCAAATCCTCCTATGAGTTAAATGTTCTTTCGATTAGACTGACCGGTTGGCGAGTTATGGACAAAACATCGGCCTCGGACGATACTCGAACCCGGACTTGCGCTATGAAGGTTAGATGTTCCGAAAAGTGTGGTTTCAGAAGCACACTCCAGAGTACTGGCTTTGAATGAAGGTCAAAAAACTGAGGAAGGCTTTTTCCCAGACTGAGGGAGGCTAGTTTTGGGGTCTGAGGTTTTCTCAACACTTGTTCATCTTCTGTCCAGCTATTTGTAAATTTTGTAGGTTGTAAATTTTGCGGGATGAATCTGGACTTATCCCGCGAGATCGGGAGCAATCCCCACTATCATGGGTCGAGTAGTCGCTAGAAAGCGCAGTCAAACTAATACTACGGTGGTTGGAAAACTCCATCGCATACTCCTTCTGCTTGAAGGTGGAACGATATCACTGCTCTGCCACCCATTTGAGCTTCCAGTTTTTGGTACGAGAGAGCTACTTGGTCCTGCGCTCTAATTTCTTCCAGACCATTTGTTTCCCAGGCCTTTGCTTCTATTTTGCTCGACGACATCATCTTGTTTCCTGAGTGCAATAGGACCGGAAATTGCCTATAGTTAAGAGGTGTTCTCACGATGTAGTTCTTTGATCAGGGACCCATCTTAGTGTAAGCATTCTTTCTACCTTCGTGTACCCTTGACTGGCTTTCCAGTCGCTGTGCTTGACAGCCTTCACTACACCGATGTCTTAATTAGCCTGATGCTTGGGCTGTGGTCAGCTGGAAAGCGAACTTTTCACCTTCTTGACCAGGTGCCGTATAAGGCATCCATCTTCACATAATTGCCTTCGCTGCTTCAGCGTTGGCAAGCTGCTTGCAGCTTCTGTAGATAGCTAGGTCCTGAAAAGCTTGCGTCTTTTGCCAGCTTCTTTAGTCCACCTTTATTTCTGCACCAAAACTTGTTGAATTCCATTAATCAAAACTATGCTGCCTTGGCTTCTCTGAATTCAGGTGCGCCTTTACCAGTGTTTCCCTTGCCCACACTAAGATCACTTTCACAGCATAGCTCCAAGTCTGCAGGATCAATTTCCGAAGGTCTGGTAGACCAACTTTTAAAATCCTCGCTCGAATATTTCATTCCTCGCTGCAGCTTCCACCACAGGATCTTTCGTTCCATTCTTGTACTTGATTTCTTGATATTCGATAGCTATGTTTGGGAAAAACCTGTGCTGCGGAGCCAGATATTCGCTAGAGAGTACTTTAATATTCTCAATTGTTTTGAGCGACAACTTCTCTACGAACAACGGACCCCTACCTCCCTTTTTGCAAAGAAGGTGCTCAGACTTCCTAATCGTGAGCCATGGCCAGCTCGACTATCCTCTCCCTTTCTGGATCCCTCTGGAAGTCAAGCTAATACCCAACTATCCTCTCCCTTTCTGGATCCCTCTGGAAGTCAAGCTAATACCCAAAGGCACAGTTCACGAGGGTTTTGGGGTATCTAATTTGAGACGATTAATGGAAGTGATAGTCCGGAATAGTGCAAAAAAAGGGCAAAGGGCGAAAATAAAGCGGAAATCTTAAGCATACAGCTGGCTGCAGTTCGCTACCTGCTTTCGGGGGGGGGGGGGGGGGGGGGGGTTAAGAACTTGTCCGCCTTGGGGGTTGTACATGGACTAAGCCCGTTCAGCAGCCCCCATTACGCCTGTGCTGGCCGCTTTCGATCCCCTAGACTGTCCTTGGCGATGATGGCTCCATCCAAGGTAGAAATCTCAGAACATTCCCAACGTGAACTGTGCCTTTAAACGGCCGCCGACCCGATGATCAAGCTTCTTCATGGAAAAGTCAAACGAAAAGTATGATGTGTTTCGTGTCCTTTGAACGAAGTATACCTTCTGGTTTACACGTGCTCGGGAAAGGAACGAGTGGAAACGGTGCCCGTGCACGATCAATCAGGCAGGTCCTTGATAGCTGATAGAAATCATGTCTTTAAGTGCTCGAGGAAGTGAAATTTTTCAAGCTTCTGTATTTCATCATATTATTAACGCGTGGTATTATATTAATATAGTGGATTTTTCAAACGAGCCTGTATTAATGTTGTGTCCGGTTTGAGGCCATGAATCTCCACTCCTGTATCCTGAGAGCCTCGCTCAGCGGTGAATAAAGGCTTCACTTCGGGCACGCTTGCTTGTGTGTTATTTTTTAGTTGGGACGAAGCTGTAAGTAAGAAGTTACCAGTGAGGCAAGTGAGCGAACAGATCGGTGCTTTCGAAAAAGTGTTCGACTTTCACTAATTGGTGAGTGTCAAGAAAATATGTGAGTATACGGGACTTCAAAGCATTCGCATTCGATAGGGGTCCATCCACTGCTAGATTATCCCTCAGCCCGCCTCAGGAAAAAAAATGGGGGTTGCGCATTACAGCGACCAAAAGCCACACTGATTCCATCAATAGCACTGTGATGCAGT